CAGATATTTTTTAGGAGGCGCATCTCTTTCTGCGCTACTCCCCGACACAATTATCACTTCACACCTTCTGTTACACATCCCTCCATCCTATTTTTAACACGTTTTTAATCTCATCTAGTCAAAAGCTTGTTAAATATCTTCTTATTTTCTTATATTGAAACGTCCTTTTGGATAAGTGATAACCCGGCTTTGATATTTTGGAGACTCTCAGACGTGAAGGAGCCTCGCTGAGCTCTGGCGAAGACACGTGGGAAGCCACGTGCCGGCCACACCAACTCGGCGGAGCAGTAAGATAGAGTGGACATTTCTATCTGCTTAACACACGGTTCTCCATTATTCAACATTAGGGTTCGACAAAATGAGAGGGATATCTGCTTATAACCTTGTAACTGAAAATCACTCTGCTACATCCGAGATTATGATCTCGGTCCCAGTCTCTGCCAGCGGTTGCCACTGTGCTCCAAGTGACAGAACTGCCCCGGGAGATTAGCCAGCTGGGCTCTCGAAATGAGAAACAGGACGAGTCGGTCAGCAGCCCCAGCGGTGTTCGTTCTGGTGGCCTTAAAAGAACCTGTCACCTAACCTCCAACGTACATCGGAGTCTGGATAAATACACGCTGAGGGAAGATACAACAGACAGCGCATCACTAGAGGCAAGGTCAGCAGTCGGACAATGCGTCTGGGACAGGGCATTCTGTGGCCGAGACCACAGGCAGGCGCAGAGGCACAGAGTACTTATTCTGGAACGGGAACGTGAGCGCCACCCTGAGTGCCCACTAGCATTCACCCAGCCGGTGCACGTGGGCCGAGCAGCCGCCAGGAGCTGCGTGGGGGGAACTGGTCGTGAATGGCACGGGCAGACTCCTCTCTTCATGGGGTTTTCATTCTAGCAGATGCCATGGATATTCCTTAATTAATGACATGATTCCTTTTTTTTTTTTTTTTTAAAAACTGGTATATTTGTTGAGCCTATAAGTTAAAAGATAATTGATTCAAAGATCTGGCTCATGAGATATGGAGATGCAACAAAAAAATGGCCAGCCCAATACAACAGCAATTAAAAGTGACTCCCTGACAAGCTGAACTGAATAAAAAGACCACACGTTCACTCCCCAGGGAGAGACCGTCTATCCCCACATTCCGCACATGAAGTCCGTCCGCAACCTGAATAGCTAATCCCGTACCTGCCGTTCGAGAAGAGTCTGGGGACTTGTCAGGACTTGCACAGAGAAATCATCAGGCAAGTCCACTGAGACATGATTCCTATTTTAATTACTAGCGTGGTAAGTGCAACAAGAGAGAATATGGGGTGCCCAGAAGGGCTTCCCTGAGAAAACGGAGTTTGAGTTGAGCTCTAGAGGAAGCAGGCTGGGCTGGGGGATGGTTTTGTGGGAAGGAGTAGGGTGAGGGAAGCCCAGGACATGACAGAAATGGAGGTCAGGCGAACATGGCCACACACGGACGGCGGAGGAAAAAGAGCACGTGGCCCGAAGTCAGGGCTGCGTGCTGTGAATGGCTCCAGGCTTGCTCCCGAAAGCAGGGTGAAGCCAGTACAGGGAGTGATGTGAGAAGACTGGCCCCTAACATGACCGTTCTGGCTGGTGCTATAGAAAAAGTAAGTCCGGATTCTCTTATCTCCCCCTCTGATATTCTCATTCCCAAGGCCAGTCCCCTACAAGTCTTCTCTGAAATCCCTAGTACACAGCACCGCAGTTAAAATATTTGAATTTTTTTAATTCAAGCAAGAGAATTTCCATAATAATAATAATAAAAAGACAACCCAATCTGAACAGATGTTTTGTCAAAGAAGATACCCAAATAGCCAATAAGCCCGCGAAAAGATGCTTCACATCATTAGCCGTTAGGGACGTGAAACTCCAAACCACACAAGCTATTATGTCACATCATTAAGACGGTCGTGATGAAAAAGACACATAAGCTTTCCATGTCCGTTCATCTGTGGGTTTACTCTGGCTGCTTTCGTGCTATAATGGCAGCATCGAGCAGCAACAAAGGCCACAGAACCTGCAAACCTAAAATATTTCCCGGCTGGTCCTTCACAGGAAGAGTGTGTCAACCCCTTCTGCACAAGGTTACTTTGAGCGTTATTCGTATGAGTGAAAAATCTAAGGCAGCCATCAAGTACACTCCAAAGCCCCATCAGCTCCCAGAGTGATCTTCCAGGCTCTCGAGCAAACACCAAGTTAGGCAGTTTTATAACAAACCTAGAGAGCAATGAATGTATTGATTTCTGACACACCATAAACCAGTGGAGACAAGCAATTCCCTTAAATGCTTCTTTGGAGGGGCCACATTTGGGGGGCTGCTGCTGGCAGGGTGTCATGTAGCCCCACGATTCTGACAGGTCATGGAATTAACATCCATCGTCAAAAGGTCAACGCGCAGGGGCAAGCCAGCAGCCAGCCTCCAAATGTTAATAACCCTGATATTTTTCAAATATAAACAGAAGTCTTTGTCTTGTAATGCTATCTTGAAATGGCTCCTTTGAAAATGAAAACTTTCAAACAAGAAGCCTGAGTTACCTAATGCAGCTGCGTGCCGGTGATGTGTTGATGACCAAGGAGCAGAGCCTGTGAACCCGTGGCCGGCCTGCCAGGCGGCAGACACTGTACGGAGGCCCCGTGCATCCTGCCTGGCAGTCCTCTCGGAGTCTAAGGGAAATGCTGCCAACCACACTGCCATGTGCTGTATCACTTAGAACTTCATCTTACACTTAAGGCAAGTGCTCTCTGAGACTTACTTTCATAGAGTTTTTCCATTATGTTGGCTTTATACATACAAAAAAAAAAGAAGAAAAAATAGAAGTAAAATGAACTGGTCGCATTTTCTCAGAAGGTCCCCCCATTGGAGGCTGACTCAGAACCGTCCAGTCCTGGCGGCCCGCACGCCTGTCCATCAGGGCCCAGCACAGCTCAGTGCCCCCCTCCGTGCTGCCCACACCGCCTGCAGGTTCAACGGGCCAGGCTGGCGGCACGAGCCTCATCAGGACCACCACGTGGAAAGCAGGGGTCCATGGGCTGACTTCAGGGATACTAAAATGTGAGGGGCAGACGAGTGCCTTTGAGTCCACCCCACTGCTGACTGGTGTGGGGTCCGAGGCACTGGAAGGTGGGGACAACCCTTCCCATTGACAACACTTCCTCTATATTACAGCTCATTCAGACAGTGGTGATTTTTAACGTATGAATATTGGAAATAACTCTGTTTGGAATAGGAAATTTCATTCTACAAGAAATATGATGAATACATAAACCACCTTCTGAGCCAGAACGGACGCACAGTAAAGACGAAGAAGACTTCACACAAACCGACTGCTTACAGTCAAGCCCATGCAAGTGGCACGGTGTCAGGGACTCCTTGAGCTCCACTGAGCCCGGACACACACACTCTGGGTTTGCAAACACCCATCGCACCTTTACCCAACTTTGGGGGAGAATAGATCCGCCCACACATTTAGCAGCCGAATTGTCTGGAGGGCAGTAGAGCGTGATGGCGAGTCGGACTGGTGTGTCTCTCTGCAGACCCCTCGGGCCACCCATCCGTCCCTGCCCCTCTACCCCCCACTAGCAGGGCCGGGAAGGAGCTCCCAGGCTCCCTGTACTCTGGGAACCCCGCTACCCTTCCTCACCCCACCACTCACAGCCTGACCCCCACCCCCACCCTTAAGATCCCCCGGACTCATCATGCCCTTTGTCTCTATTGATGATGTCACAGGAAGCTCCAGAGCCCGGGTGGCCCCCCGCCCCCTGCAGTCTGCACAGAAAGAGGGTTCGCACCTCCCCTCTCAGAAGCCGCCCCACCTGCCCCCAGTCTAGGGCGACGGAGTTGGAGGTGTGCACGACATGAGTCTCCCTAGGAGGACTCAGTTTACCAAAACCAACTCTGTACGAGGTGGGAAAAGGGTTTACTGTCTATAGAAGTAGAGGAAGGTGTAGAGGAGCTACCGCTGTCACCTCCAAGACACAGCATCAGCCAGAAGAAATCCTACTAAGCTGTTAAGGAATTGGTACTTCCAATGATTCTCAAATACTTCCCGAGCCAAAGAAAGAGGAAAAATTTCCTTTTTTTTTTTTTGCAAAGAAGCAATTTAGTATGAACACCAAAATCTAGCAAAAAGAAATGTATTCTATCAAAAACAAGAAACAAAACTATAGACTAATGATACCTATAAATGGCAATTAAAAATCCTAAAAAAAATTAGCAAAAAGCTTAGGTAGCACAACTAAAGAATAATCAAATCTATCATGATTAACTGTGGTTATTGACTCGCACGCTAGGATGGTTTACCGTTACGCAGTCTATTAAACATAATCCAGCGCGTAACTAGATCCAAGAAAAAATCATTTGATTATTTCCATAAGGGCCAAAAAAAGCTTGATGAAGTAATTATTTGTTCTTGCTTTCAAAAGGTAAAATTAAAATAGATGAGTACTTCCTTCACCAGAGAAAAAAGATTCTGCGGCAATGCCAAGATACCCTCTACCCGTGGAGAGGCGAGGGCTACGTGGGAAATCTCTGTGCTTCCCCCTAGGTTCCATTTTAAACCTAAAACTGCTCTGAACAAGGAAAACCTGAAAAAACTTTTAAATAGTAATAGTGCGATTATCTGTAAGATGCAAAGTAAAGTCATCCTCGACCCATCCAGTCGCATTTCACTAGGGGCTTTCGACCACGTGTGTTTTATTGGGATTGGCAGCAGTGAGTCTGCACACGGCACCTGCACTCACGTTGGTGGACTGTCACCTTTCAGCAGCGCCTGCCGACTCTGTGCCGTGAAGAAAACTGATGAACGTACAGCCAGGACCACAACCTAAGCATACTTCCCCTTGTTGCCGGTACCACGATTCACAGGTTCTGAAACACCTACTTTGGCTGATCAACATTAAGCAGGACTTCCTGACGCCCTACTAGGTGAGGTGCAGAAGCTGACAAAGACGCAAAACGCAGCAGAATCAAAGAGACTCGTGAGAAGCCCTGACCTTGTTCGTACAGCAGCATCATGTTCGAGTCTCTGCAGGCAACCAGGTTGCTGAGCAGCGCAACCACACTCTGCATGGTGTTCCCCAGAATGTTCTCCTGATGCTCCTGCAAGACATCACAGGGTTCATCATTACCATGCGGAAGTACAATCACATCATAATGAAGACAAATGACCGAATGACCTCCATCCCTTGAAGCAGGGGCTTCCGCCTTAGCGCACATCCCAGGAGGGAGTGATGGCAGCAGGGAGGCAGCTGGGACCACCCGGAGCCCCAGCGCTGCTGCCTGCAGTCCCTGCCCATGAGCTCAAGGGCGACCACACAGTCCTCTGTGCCCAGAAGGATGACAAAGGCGCCAGAGGAACCAGAAGTCAAGTGCTGGGAACTTAGAAGACCGCTCTGAAGGTCATTTTGAGATCATAAAAGAAAACTACTTAAACAAAGAAGCATATCTGGAGTTTCAAGAGTAAACCGGCACAGATACTCCCCCCCTGAAATTTTGTGCATCGATGCCCACAGGGGAGGTGGCTTCCTGCGTCACTGGTTCAGTGTGAGGACTACGCTTGGGACCCAAAAGAGTGGGTTTTACTGTCTCCCAACGGGTGACATCACAGAGCAGGGAGCAACTTTGCTCCTACCGAGAATGAAAAACATGAATAACTCTTCCATCTTAATTTCTCCTGTTAAAGACAAAATATTTGTCATTTTTAAGGGATCTCAAAAATAATTTGCTTTAGTTTTGTTTCCTTTTTCATTCCTCTGAATTTTTAAAAAATTCAACAACTAACAGGAAGTATCACTGAAACTATGAAACTTCAAATAACATAAAGAGTCTTGGAGCTCTGGGATGGGGGTGAGCCAAGCCAGGTGTATAAGGAAGAGAAAGGAGCGAGAGCAGATGTGAGCTCTCACTGCGGCCCCAGCCCCAGCCCTGACCCTGACCCTGGCCCTGACCCTGGCCCTTGGCCACTCTCTTAGGAGCTAGTCCCATCCCAAGAAGTAACAGGTGTGTACCAACTGAGCAGGCACCATCCGGGCCTTCTGCTACTCACTTTTTCATACACACTCATTCATACACACACACTCACACAGACGGTTCGCTCTACTTTTAAGCATAAATTATATCATGTATTAATTCACTCAACAAAAAATTACCAAATAGCTATTACGGACCAGGCACTGTTCTAGACACATGAGGTACGTTAGTGAACAAAATCAGGTCCCCTGTCCTTTCGGAAACAAACAAACAACAGGCATGATAAGTAAGTTCACTGTGCCATGTGTTCAAGGGTAACATGTGCTTTGGCCAGAAAGCGAAGAGCAGAGCAGGAAAGCCCGGGAGACTAAGGTGGGGCTGCGCAGACCTGTGTGCGGGTTGGGCGGGACTCGCCGAGGTGCCATCGGACCCGAAACGTTAGTTTTAAACGCTGAAGCATCTTAGAATTCTCTGAATTCCCTTATTTTTAATAAAATGACTTTGACATCATTTTACATTTACAGGAGTTGCAAAGCTAGTGTGGACAGTTTCCATACACCTGCAGCCAGCTTTCCCTGATGTGGACATCTTACCACGGCACGGCTATCAAAACCAAGGAGTTAACGCTGGTACGATCCTCACGTCTAAACCACAGACTCCGCTCAAATGTCAGTTTTCCACCCGTGTCCTCCTCTGTTCCAGGATCCGGTCCCGGGTCCCATGCTGCACTAGAACACGCTGGTTTTTGCAACGAATGCAGGAAAGAGCAAAAGTAGGTTTACAGGTGAATCTTTTTACCGCTGTAGTTTTACCAGTAAATCTTTTTTTTTTAAGTCTTCACCTGAGGATATGTTTTCACTGATTTTAGAAAGAGAGAAAGGGGTGGGAGAGGAAAGAGAGAGAAACGTCGATGTGAGAAACATCAATTGGTTGCCCTCCATACACACCCTGACCGGGGATCGAACCCACAGCTCTTTGGTGCACAGGTCAGTGCTCCCACTGACTAAGCCTCCCAGCCAGGGCAACCAGCAGATCTTTATTTTGAAAAAGCTCTCAGGAATCTGCACCTTGACCCAAAGTTGTTTAGTTCCATTTCCTAGGAAAGCATCTAAAATGTACAAGTTTCCACCGCATTGTCTCATGTCTTCACGAGTCCTCTGGTGAAAGTACTCGCGTTACCTCTCACGCCGCCTCCTCCCTTTCTTGTGGAGCAGACTCACCGGAGCTTCGTCTTATTTTATTGGTCTTTCCAAGGAACCGGCTTTCCATTTGAAGGACCATCTACATTTCTGGCTTTGAGTTAGTCATTACGAACGCATCCCAATTTGCCACTTCTCTCTCCTGGGTATGCGGGGCGAGGTCACTTCCTGCCCACTTGTAATTAGAAATGACCATGACACTTGCTTTGGCCCATGAAACTCATTTGGGCAGAAGCTTTAGAGGCCAGCGAGGGCTTTATCATCCCCCCTCCCTCTCTGCTCTGATGACCGGTCACGTCCTAGATGGCTGAGGCTCCAGTCACCCAAGTCGCAGAGCGAGGACAGGCAGCAGAACAGCCAGGGCCCCCCTTGAGGGACACGTGGTTTCCCAACCTGATGAAAGTACCAACGCCGCACCTGGCTCCAAAACTGTGCATACCCCCGGTGACGGCCACACGAGTCCCGAGTCTCCTGTACATCTCTGCTCGATTCAAGACCAGGGGTCTGCTTTCCAAATACCAGTGCCTGTCCGTTTCTAACATTCTTTTAGAAACACACGCTTACAAGTGGGCGACGGCATTTGACTGTCTCACTGACACCGGCTTATGAAGATGAATGTGGAAGCGCCAGGCCGCCACCAATTCTGTCTCATTATCCCCACAGTTAGTTGGAAGGAGAGGGTGATTAATAAGCCCGACGTGACATGACATGCTACTCGTGATAAAGTAACTAACGATACGTGGGAAACCTGTTTTTGTGGAGAAAAGAAGCTAATAAATCTTTGCTTTTTGCCCATTTGGTTAAACAGCACACAGGACTCCTTGTTCAAAGACCAGGCAGTAAGCTGGCTGGAGGCGGATCGATGGTCCTCCCACAGCCCCCTTTTAATAATTAAACGTACCTTCCCCTGTGGCGCTCTCGGCAGTATTTCTGGCCTGTTGCAAAGCCAGCGCCCAGCGTCTCCTCGTGCTCACAGGGTGAATGCCTCCGATCGGTGCGGGCACCTCACTTCGTACCACAGCCAACTGTCCACACCTCCGTCACCCCCGAGCACAGAGTGCCCAGGACCGTGCCCCAGCCGACGAGGTTGGAAGACCCCTGACCCGGGGCCGCAGAGCAGTGCAGAACGAAGGCCTCTGCCCGCCCGCCGCTCTATCGGCACAGGGGCGCACGGCCAAGGTGCACCCTGATTATGGAGAGCCTCCCCGACCTTGTACTTAGGTAACTCAGGGGGAAAGGCCTGATGCAGAGGACAAAGAAGGGGCCGATGATCCCACAGCCAGATGGGACGTACTGTTCCTTGTCTCCTGTGACAACTGCCCGATAGGAGGATAGGGTGGAGGAGTGGGTGAAAAAGGCGAGCGGAGTGAGAAACACAAATTCCGGGTTATGGAAACAGTCGCGTGATGTGAAGTGCAGCACAGGGAATACAGTCGATGATAACACTGTAATCACTAAGTCTGGTCCCCAGGTGGGGAAAAGACATAACGGGGAGACCATTCCTCTTAGCAAATGTAGTGACGTTTGTTCTTGCTGTTTCACAAGCACATTAGCCTACAGGACAAATCGCCTTGGAAAACATCATGCTCAGATGTTTCGTAGATCGGAGCAGAGGGTTATCGGGGGCTGGGGGGGAGCATGAGGGTGAACACCTGCAGCCGGAGTTCTTCTTGGGCGTGTGGGAAAAGTGACTCAAAGAAAGAGAAAGGGAGCCACGGGCTGGTGCGCAGACCGCAGACCGCAGACCTGGGTTGGAGGGGCGAGTCCCTGAGGCGCTCCTCTGGGACAGCCCCCCCCCCACTCAAGGCAAGCCCGCATCCCAGGGTGAAGGACCATCCCTGAAGGCTACATAAAATCCTGACACTTTTTTAACCCCCTGGCTCATTTATAAGACAACAATTCCACGCCACCAGCAGTGCAACACATGCAAAGGGAACAGTGTGAGAAGAGACGAGAGCAAGTGATGAGTGTGACCAGGGCCTTTGGCGCAGGGTCAGGGGTCCAGGTGCCCGCAGCTTCGGTGCTGGTCAGGGCAGGCCACAGTGGGGCAGCCATGTGGGCCCAGGGCGCCGCAGGACAGAACTGACAATTTACGGATGTGGTGCTGTGTGCCCGGCCTGTGTCCCAAGCACCTTACCTACCGTGGTTGGTCCAGAAGGTATCCTGCCATGTAAAGTGAAACACCGAGACACTTACTAAAGAAACAAGATACAAGAAACAATGTACACAGGACGATGACGTCTCAGTCCCCTTCAAAGTAGGCAGCTTAGGGCCTCACACAGTTCTCCCAATCGCCATCAGCTGCCCTGTTGTATTTTCTTAATCTCATCGACAGTCTGAAATCTCTTCCCTTTCAAAGGCAATTTTAGTTTTGGGAGAAGCCAGGAGTCGCAGGGCACCAAATCTGGGCTGTAGCGGGACTGAGTCACCTGGGAAATTTCTTTCACCAAAAAAGTCTGCACAAGACGTGATGCATGAGTGGGTGCGTTGTAGTGATGACGCTGCCAGTCACCAGTGACCCAGGAACTGCAGCCTTCTGAACCATCCCAATTGTTTCCGTGGAGGAATGTTCAAGCTTAATCAAACTTCTATGCAGATTTGTTCCTTTATTGTTCAGTCAATTTGAATAAGACGGCCCCACAGTCACATGCTCACTTAACCCAGCACCTACCACCCCCACTGACTAGTACAGCGAAGTCATCGTTGTTCACACCTGCACATTCCAGTCCACTCTCCTTGGCTGCCAGGTTACACTGATGTTGTGCAAACCATTCTTGTTATAGTAACAATGGCTGGACTTCTTCCAGACAGACCTTCGTATGGTTTCATTGAATGCTCACAAAAACCCTGTAGTAGCTACCGTTCTCCCATTGTACAGATGAGGACACTGGTTAGGGACCGTGACTTGTGAAAGCTCCCCCAGCTCTGCAG